AAATTACATTTTAACATAATAATGGAAAACGAATATTTTTTTTAATTGTTATAATATATCACAGATATTTCTGTTAATTTTTGAGCAAATAAATGCAGCCTTGTTGAGCATAGTTCTTAACAACTTTTCAAAAAATCTGACCAGTACTTGCATGTCTAGTGTGCAACTCATGTGGTCTCTCACATTTCATACAAACACAAGTTAGTTTTTTATCTCAAATGATTGCTGATCATAAATAAACGAATATTTTTTTTAATTGTTATAATATATCACAGATATTTCTGTTAATTTTTGAGCAAATAAATGCAGCCTTGTTGAGCATAGTTCTTAACAACTTCTTTCAAAAAATCTGACCTGTACTTGCATGTCTAGTGTGCAACTCATGTGGTCTCTCACATTTCATACAAACACAAGTTAGTTTTTTATCTCAAATGATTGCTGATCATAAATATGACCTCAAAGGACTTCTGTATTACCCCAAAATGTTGTACTGTATATGGACAAAATAAGCAGACATTTTTCAAAATATTTGCACCTAAATCCCCTCCATGCTCCCTCATTGTGTTTAAGCCTCCATGCATAAATCATCTTTTCTCAGGAGGGTTTTATCAGGGCTTAGATGAATTCATGCTCAGGATATTGTTGTAGTTGTGTATTGAACCGTAGATGACTACGGTTTATTCCATTCTAGCTGTTGTCTAAAATGTACTGAATATGAAGAACAGAGTTATGACAGGAAAGTATGAATGAAATGCAACAACCATCATTGTTTTTTGGCTATAATATTTGATCACTTTACAGAATAATGAAATATTCAGTCCATCAAGGCCTATTTTTATTTTTAAAAATGTGCATTTTTCAGGGATCTACATTTCAAGGAAAATCCCTTGGCTTCTTAAACAATGGTCTGATTAACAACATCAACAAGAGGTTTAGCCAGAGTTTTCAGCAAAATGTGCTTAAGGATACAACAAATCATTGTTCTAGGTTTTTCATATAGCACTTCTGATGATGATGGCTTCATCTTTGCACCTTAAGTCTTAAAAATGTCTCTGTGCAGGGCTGAGGAGAAGGTGACAGTTCACTTTCTGAATCGAGATGGAAAAAGGATTTCGGTGAAAGCTTTAACAGGAGAATCACTACTCGATATTGTTGTTAACAATGATCTAGATATTGATGGATTCGGTAAGTTATTTACAAATATTGTACATGGTGTAAAAATGTAAGTTTTATTTGTACAGACAAATATGCATATCTCATTCACACACAATAAATAGTAAAAATGTGCAGTTTCTTCCTGTCACCTAATGTAGTCGGGTTGATTTAGTTTACATTAAATAATATTTTGGGTTTTAATAAATCCACATGAAACACATTTTTACAGTGCATATAGTGTACTGTCTATGAGGACTGCAGGTTGCCTCAAAAATATAGCAAAGGAAAAACATATGCGATTGACATAGAAAGGCAAAAATGATTTGGTCATTGTGAACAGGCCAAAGCTTTACAGGGCTTTTGTGTATGTAATCCAAAGGTAAAACGAGGTGAACAGCTAGAGAAATATTTTAATACTTGTAATGTCAATGTAAGTGGAATGTGAGTCTTAGTAGCTTGCAGGCTAATATTTTTGTGTGTCTCTTTTGTGTTGTTGAACTAGGTGCATGTGAGGGAACTTTGGCCTGCTCTACGTGCCACCTTATTTTCGAGGAGGCCGTTTATAAGAAGCTTGGACCTATTTCTGATGAGGAAATGGACATGCTGGACTTGGCTTATGGGCTTACAGACACGTGAGTGGACCAAATCACACAACAATAGGAGATCATTTTATAATTGTCTTCAGAAGCCATGCAGTAGCTTTTGATATTTTTGTACAGACTTCAGTTTAAAGATGAAGAAAGTATCTTTTTTGATGTTGAAATACACTTTCCTATTCTATATTTTATATCGCTTTCTAGCTTATTTGAAAAATGCCTAAAACTTGGTATTACAAGCACTTCCTGTGTCTGTTTGCCTCTTTAAGAAGAATCGCTTTATGTATTCCCCAATTGTAAGTCGCTTTGAATAAAAGCGTCTGCAAAATGACTTAATGTAAATTATGCAGAGACAACAGTTAGTAAGCCACTCATAGGTTGATTCCCCTGTAAATATAAACACTGTAGCTCACTATCATTACTCTGTTCGTATGAGCTTCCTGACCAGCACATGGTAACATGGGCTCAACCAATAGAGAGTTATCTTTGTTTGAAAATTTTACTTTCCTTTGGTTTCAACACTTGACATAGAAATTACAGACTTCATTTTAAAAGGTGTTCGTGCATTAAAAAGTGCATGTCTTTTTTAAATTTTCTGTTTTGACAATTCATGATTTGGCTGGATTTGAATATTCATGGAAAATCTTCACATTTCTATTTTGCATGTACATCATTTAGATCTCGTCTGGGTTGCCAGGTGTGCTTGAGGAAGGATCTGGATGGGATGATTCTGCGTGTGCCAGACGTGATATCTGATGCTCGAGTTGACAGTGAAAAAGAGTCCTCCACAGCCCCACCCAAAGTATAATCTATAAAATAAAGCCCAGTCGTATATCATAAAAACTGCATTATGGAGAAATCTTTAATAGCAGATAATTTAATATGTACTACTTTAATAGAAAACTACATTTGAATTGATAACATGTATTGTTTGGTATTATTTACATGCTGCCGTAAGTAGTTTTTATAATTTTGGTGATTGTCATTTTTTTAATTGTGCAGATTCTGCAATTCTTTGTGTCACAATGAGAGGTGGGAGCATCTTGCTGTTATACATTTTGAATGCAGAAATAACTAACTGATTTATTGCAATAAATATGATGTTTAACTTTTTAAGTTGCATTGTTTGTTTTGTAAGGATGAAAGAAACTCAGATACTTTGATCTCCTGAGAAACAGAGAATACAAACATACACGGGCATCTTCGAGACACCCCACAGAGTGGAGGTGCAGGAAACGCCTCTCTCACATATGCATCAGTTCCTTCTCATCCCCTTCCTTCCCCTTACCCATCCTCCCTCCATTTGGTTCACTCAGAATGGTCAATAGTATAATGTTCTACATGAATACAAATAATATTTACAGTCATGTTTGGTATCATTTGAATAGTCTCAGGGCGAGTGGTGCAATGGTCTCAATCTTACAAAAGTAGACTAAAAGATAATACAGATACTAAGAGTTAAGAGATATTTTGATTAGGGTCATTCCATGCAAATTACCTTCTGTTCCCATTGAGGTGTAAACCACCCAGGTCTGGGACCTGGTTAATGAAAATTCCAATTGTTTGGACATGCCTCCATTTGGGGGATGTTTTATCTTGGTTGTGTATTTAAAGGATTGCAGCAAAAAGGGGCGATTCTGTAGCCAGAAAGCCCATAGTGTGTCCACACACTTCATACTATGTTTTTTTCTAAAAGTTAGGTATGCATCTTAGTCTTAGATTCGTCTTTGAGAATTTGATGTCTTGTATTGATTTGATATCTTTGAATTGGCAATGTAATTGGCATAATACATATTTACCTGACTGATAATAAATTGTTACATTTGATTTATTCTGACTTACTCTGAAATTATTTTCTCAAGTAGATGAAGTGAAGGCGTATGTTTCCGCAAATCTGCGTCCAGGATTAGTACATACTAGATCTCAGGTTAGATGGAGCATGGCGCACATCAAGTGAGATTATAGATTTCTGGCTAACTGCTTGACTTTAGTTAAATTGTACTCGGTTGCGTTAACTATGGGGGGCTAGTCATAGTACTGGTCATAACCGCTGGTTATTGTCTCGGCTTTAATTAAGTTGTACGTAGTTATATTAGCTATCGGGGGCTAGACAAATAGTACTAGCATAACCGCTAGTTGTTTGAGGTATATTGAAGTTGTACGTAGTTATTTTAACTATCGGGGGGCTAGATAAAAATACTATCGAAATATTAACATATTTCATAGTACTAGCATAACCGCTGATTATTGTTTGATCTTTATTCAAGTTGTACATAGTTATTTTAACTATCGGGGGGCTAGATAAAAATACTATCGGCTATCGGGGGGCTAGACTAAGGGTCTAGCAGAACCGCTGATTAATGTTTTGAGTGTTAATTAAGTTGTACGTAGTTATATTAGCTATCGGGGGCTAGACAAATAGTACTAGCATAACCGCTAGTTGTTTGAGGTATATTGAAGTTGTACGTAGTTATTTTAACTATCGGGGGGGGGCTAGATAAAATACTATCGAAATATTAACATATTTCATAGTACTAGCATAACCGCTGATTATTGTCTCAGCATTAGTTAAGTTGTACGTAGTTATATAACTATCGACTGGCGAGTTTGTGATCGTTCGTGGGGCCCACGTAAAACGGCCGACGTGAGGCACCCTGAACGACAGATTCCTAATGAACGAGTAAATATAAAGTAAAGAGTTAACTAGAATAACCAAATGTCAGAATAATAGTAATAATTAGAGACAGACTAACAACCAATTTGCCTTTCAACCTAAATTCGAGGTCATATTAAAATGGAGTCAGATTAGATAATAAAATGGGAGTCAGATTTGAATTTAACCTAAATTGAATAACTTTGCGCTGTAAAGACCGAACACGCAAGAATCCTTCAGCCATCACTGGATACCTTCCTTGGGCCAAGTGCGTGGACCTTGCCGTTTTTATTTTGTATTTGAAAGCTGGAACATCATCCTCAAGCAAGCACATGTGATTGATTATATTTGAACATGTTTTGCTGCTATGTTATATAAGCGTTAATGTTGAAATGAGCACAGTGAAAATGTGAATTATTGAGCCGAAATATGTTTGCAAGAATGAACAATTGTTGAAAAAAAAAAACTAGGGCCACACACAGGTGGGATTACTAGTTTTAATAAGATATATGGTACAAAACATGATGGAAATACTGTAGTACTATATTAAATAGCATTTTTTTTTAAAGTGCAATACAATTATTGTAATTATAATTTTTTTTTTTATTTACTTTCAAACAGTTTTGTATACATTTAATTAAAAGGTTTGGCTACATTTACAAAAAGGCATTACAATGCTCACAGATCATCTTAAAATTAAATCTTCTTGGACCTCAAAATGGCGGCATTCATTTTTCAAAATCAAAATATGAGTAATTACGTTTTAGGATCAACAAGCAAAATGGGTAATCTATCCCTACTGTATGTAATCCTGAAAAGGGGATTTTGTGAATGTGCAAGTATAAGTGTCTGTTTTTGAATGCTTTAAATGCTTCAGTTTGAAAACATTGAAACACATTGAAAACTGAAAGAAAAAAATAATTATTGTTGGGCCAATAGATGATGCCATTGTTCTTTGTCGATGGCTGACAGACATCACAATGTTGATTCCTCCTAATTTTCCTCATCAGAAGTGTCCGCGTGCAGCCCAATTTTTGTGAGTTTACTCAGCGGTTGAGTTTGCTTTGAAAGCTGTGCGGACGTGGTAAATGAAGTATACCTGGGTCTTTAGTGGGTCAGCTGCTGCAGAGCGTGCCAAAATCGAAATTGCTGATGAGATGAAGATGAAAATATCTAGTGGAAAATGAGAATGTTACGCCCCCTCTAAAAAATTTAATAATTCTGTCATATGAAGCGTGTAATTGTTAATTATAAGAAACTGCAGATTATTATCATTAATGGAGTCCCATTGTTTATGTGCTGTTTTTGAAAAAGACTGTTCCCATTGGCTTCAGACAATCCACTGGCTGCTACTGCAACAACTGAGCCTTTGAGCCTGCTTCTCTCTGAGAGGAGAAGCATCCATAAAGTAGTCCCCGACTATTTTTCCAGAGGAGGGGTGCAAATCAAGAGCTTTAAACCTCAACTGCTCCCCAGAGAGTTTGCTAGACTTCAAACCTGCATTCTGTTCCCTGACTTTGTGCACCGTCAAGTTGCAGCTCTGTCCGTAAAACACACTCTGTGGTAATTTGACCTCTTCTTCAGTCCTGGTTTGACAGGAGAACCTGACGGTCTGAGGGTCAGAGGACACATTGGGGTCTCCTAATGGACTGTGCGTGGGGCTCCCGGGCCCCCTGTAGAAAAGGCCTTTTCCTTTATGTGAAGGTATTTGAGTGGGAGTCTGTGAGAATGGTTTTCTGTTGAGTTTTTGAAAGGCCTGCTGATAAGGAGGAGGATTTTGGGGCACTTTACATTGTAAACTAATTTCAATATTAGTGACGTTCCTCTGATGATGTGGCGGAGATGATTTTTCGTTCGGCAAGCTGTTTGAGTTTTGGTAGTCTGCGCCATTTTGAGCGAGCAAATCAGATTGTCCCTTGTCTGGAGAGTCCTGAGGAGAATGACGAGTCATACGGGTGGACAGAGAAAATGGACTGTCTATTGAACTCACAGATGAGTGTGTTGGTGAAGTTCCTGCCGATGACACATTGGAGGTTGGTGGAGTTTGTTTTTCTCTCATGAAATTCAGTTGTTGAAAGCTTAGTTCCAAAAGCAAATTATCATTGACCTCATCAGGTCTCTTAAACTCTTCATGTTTTCCACTTTCTAGGGTTACTTCCTGCTGATGAGAAGTCAAAGCAATGGTGGACATGGAGCGTCTGTATAATTTAAGGGATCGGAGCTGTCGCACTGCAGGTGAAAAGTTCCTAAGTTGTGCTAATGGGGTGGAAGACGGCAGGTGGTTTTCTGGAATATCGAGGTCACAATCACTCAGTGACATGAGTGAGTCCATACTACGACTGTCTTTCAGAGGACGACTCTTAGAAATGTCCTCTGTGTCTGTATTCACCTCATTCTTTAGACTCTCATAACCTGAATCTGACATCTGCTGCAGGGACCCAACTAGAGGCGGGAAGAGGAAAGAAATATATAGACTATACATTTTTAAAAACATAGTAAAAGAAATTGTGTGAAAATGTGTTGTTGTTGTTACTTTTTATGAAGTTACAGTATTTTTTGAACTGATCTGGGGTCTTCAGGTCATTTTAGGAAAAGTTGTTATAAATAATGCTGAAATAAAATACATTATAAATATTAGATGAAATATTTAAAAATATTAAAAATATTGAATCTAAAAACATTAACATAATTAAATGAAAATTATAAATGTTGCCTTGGCAGCTTACTGAAATAAATTAGTATTTTATGTAACTTTCATTTACATTTTCAACAAGGGAAAAAATCTGGTTGATTTAATCACTAACTAATCATTTCTTAAATTAAAAAGCAGTTGAATTAGCTAAAGCACATTTTTCCGGCTGAAATATTATACAGTGTTGTTTTGTGTTGGTGTGTTGTGAATTCTGTATGTATTTATAGTAACCTGATCCGCGGTTGCTTCTATTGTCCTCAGTCAAATCCAATAATGTTGTGCACCAAATCAGTATTAGAATGATTTCTGAAGGATCATGTGACACTGAAGACTGAAGTAATGGCTGCTGAAGCTTTGCCATCACAGGAATAAAATATATTCAAATATAAAAGTGTTATTTCACAATATTACAGTTTTAACTGTATTTTTTTAATCAAATAAATGCATAAGAGACTTCTTTCAAAAACATTACTGTGAAACTTTTACAGACCCCAAACTTTTGAAGAGTTTACATACATAAATATCTACCTTGAACACTGAAGCAGTAACAAGTACAGGTTCTCCACTCAGTGGCTCTTCATAGTGACCAGAATCCAGTTTTTCCCTCAATTCTCGGCAGGCCTTCACTCCAGCAGAGCGCCGGAATATTCCATGCGTCACGGCCCCCTCTCTGCACAAACACTTCAGCATGTCCTTTAAAAAAACAAGTGGTTTTATTGTAATACTATTATTGTAAATGGATATTATCATACTTTAACAAAAATTATGTTTATTATAACTCTTTCATAAAGGAGTAAGAATGTTTTAAAGTGCTTTTCGACATTTAATAATGCTGAATATTATGCAAAAAAGGTTATACAGCTTTTCATTTACATATATAACAATCTTAATGTATAATATTATACTGCTTCCGTCAATATTTCTCATGAGATGAAGTTTGAAAAGTAATACAGTAGGGATTATCTTTTTAATTGCCTAAAATTTGAGGATTTTCAGTACGTACAACAATGGGTGATGGCAGGGTATTGTCTTTTATCACATCACTGAGTGGCCGACCAAACAGATGACCAGAAGCCGGTGTAATGGTTTGATCAGGAGATTCGGACTGAACATCCTGGTCAATGATGAAGCCTCGTTTAAAAGCCCAGCTAATAAGAGACATCCTCCTCCTCTTGCTTTTCTGTTCTGCTAGAAGAAATGTATGCAAGAGAGGCCAACAAGATAATAAAAAAAAGAGGCAACATTTCAGGACATTGTGTATGTGTGTTAGTTTTTGGGGTGGAGGGATTGGAGAGATATGAGTGCCAGAAGAAATGGGGTGGGAACCAGGTTGTTGTCATGCCAAATCATTTCCATACAGTATGTATTTGTAGAATATATGGCTTAATATTCAGAATTAATTTTGTGTGTGTGTTTTGTCATAGATGTGGGCTTTAATTTAAAAAAATTAATTGCCCATATGTGGACTCATGTAGAATGCAAGGGAAATCATCATAGAAGTTACAAATATTATTGTTTTCAGTAATATACGGTTATTTCATGCATACAAAAAAATCATACTATGCACAGCATACTACAAAAACAGAACGAGTAGCATGGTAGCATTCTGAAAACAAGCATTACTCACCTGTGAAGGTGCTACTCATTTGACTGGGCCTCAGGAAGAACTGGCAGTGAGCGTCAATAGGCAAAAGCGCCATCTGGCTGTAGGATAATGTCACTGCATCTTGCTGCAGCAGGCGAATGTGGCTCATCTTAATGCTATAAGGAAACTCATGACCTGGTGGAACAAAAGCCCCTTTTAAAAGCTGCTGTGCTGGCAAAGTATCAGATACTATTACCACAGTAATTTAATATATTAATTCACTGCTAAAATGTTTGATTGCTTTGATAGCAGGAGAATTACTGATAAACTCTTACCAATTAAAGGGTATGGTGTTTCATCTTGTTTTGAACATACCCACAACTTATAATCTTTTATTCCACCCTGTGTACAAAGAGAAAAGCAATTAATAAGTTAAATAAAAATAAATAAATAATAATCATTTTATTTATTTATTTGTTGCTTGTTTGTTTGTGTGTGTAGTAGTTGTGCAGTCTTTACATACCGAAAGACCAAACTGTTGCAGTGCTGTGCCAATGACATCAGAGGTGCAGTCTGTGTTGCTGATAAAAAGAGTCTTTGCCTAGAGAGAAAAAAAGCAAATGCTCATTCATTTACACATTGAAGCTACAGTACATCATTTTATACTCACAAAACATTCAGTTCTCACATAGGCACAGTTCCCAACATCCTTTGCAAGTATCTTTAGTGGAATCATCTTCGGATTATCACTCTGTTTTTCTTCTTGTATACAACTAATTAAAAAGAGGGAGAAGAGAAATTTCGATAAGAGGGTTTATTTCTTTATTGTTTTTATTGCTATAGTAAAAGAACTGACCTTTGAATGAGAGACAGCCACCTATCTTTTTCTTCTGAAATGCTATACGCACACACACACACACACACACACACACAAACAACAAATTTTAACAGGAGAAATCAATGGATACGTTTAGATTGGCTATATATAATGTGTGTGTGTGTGTGTGTGTGTGTGTGTGTGTGTGTGTGTACTGGTGTATATGGTTTATGAGGACACAAATGTGTATAATGACATGGGTACTACAACGTAAACATGGTTTATGAGGACACTTCCTGTGTCCCCGTAAAACAAAAGACTTAAAAATATATACAAAACAGTGTTTTATGAAATTCAAAAATTGCCAGCAGTTTTCTGTAAGGGGTAGGTTTAGGTGTAGGGTTGGTGTAGGGCGATAGAAAATACAGTTTGTACAGTATAAAAACCATTACGCCTATGGAGAGTCCCCGTAAACCACAAATGCAAGTGTGTGTGTGTGTGTGTGTGTGTGTGTGTGTGTACCTAAAAGTAGCCACACAGTTGTAAGTTGGCCAACCCATGACAAAGCTCCTCTCTGAAGCGGTACTGGCCTCACACACCTCATCCACACAGCTGGCCGTCCACATCTCACTAACACGCACACACTTCTTCTGCTTCACCTGCATTACTGACCTGAAAGAAAAAAAAACATCTCAAATTATTTCAAGACCAAATTATTAGAACTATACCATCTTACCACTTTAACATTGTAGCTCTACATACTACCATTCTGAAATTTGGTGTCATTATGTTTTTTGTTTGTTAGTTTGTTCATTATTTATTTATTATATTTTAACGAACACTTTTATTCAGCAAGGACACATTAAATTGATTAAAAGTGACAGCAAAGACATAATATTTCTATTTCAAATAAAAGTTGTTCTTTTGAACTTTCTTTGCATCAGAAACTGTATCAAAGTTTGCACAAAAATATTTAGCAGCACAACTGTTTTTTTTTAGCATTGATAATAATAAGAAATGTGTCTTGAGCACCAAATCAGCATATTAGAATGATTTCTGAAGGATCATGTGACACTGAAGACTAGAGTAATTGACTGCTGAAAATTCAACTTTGCAATCAAAATAATAAATTACATTTTAAAATATATCAAAATAGGAAATAAATTGTAATAATATTTATACTGTATAATTTTACTGATCTAATAAATGCAGCCTTGTTGAGCAGAAGAGACTTCTTTCAAAAACATTAAAAAAAAAATCTTACCAACACCACATTTCTGGATGTTTGTGCATTTCAATATTTGGATGATTTATGTCATTTTAATTCTTCTCAGTAAATTTCCACCTCCATACTTAGCCTTGGTGATGATGAGAAGATCACTGAAGAGGATGAGGAATCTCTCTTGGGTCTGAAGGCCAGTCTGCAGCACCACATTGCCTTGGCAAATGAGCTTCCTTGTCGGGCTGAGCAGAGACTGGATCAGGGCGAAAATGTCCTGGCTAACCTGAGATGCACAATTCCTAACACAAACATGAGAGAAAAAGAGACATTAATTGAGAGAACAACATTAGAAAACCTATACAAAATCCACAATTTCCCCTGGTCAGGCATATTTCATTTGAAGTTTGCATAAGAAAATATGTCCAATTCATCAATCCATTTGCAATTAATCAAAGCTTCTGACTTGAGCGCTCTTTCATGTGCTTCATTGATAAATTACCTCGTGTTACAGCTCAACATCAGACAAAAGGTAGATTTCAGAAAGTACACATACTTTTCAGACAGCCTGTCTGATGGCAGACAACTTTGTTTCTCTGTGTCACTCTTTCACACACTCACACACGTGCAGATGCTGGTTGTGAGACCACACACATCTCTTCATTCTCTCCTTTCAGTAAAATGCTAATATATTCAGAAGCCTCTTGCATGCACACAAGCACTGACTGTGACATTGTGCCAGAAGTGGGAAACAAACTGCTCATTGAGACTGAAACAGACTGTAAAATAATCAAATGGCCATGCAGTCTGATATTTATGTTTATGGAATGCACCAATACATGCACACATTTTTAGTTTTCAAAGATCATACCTGGCGACAGGTTTCGACTTTGTAAGAGCTTTGCTGAGAATAATAGAAGGTGCGGACTGTCTGCGTTGAGAGAAAGACTTCTAGAGAAAAAATAAGAGAGAGAGAGAGAGAGAGAGAGAGAGAGAGAGTAATGTAATATACTGTAATAAAAGAGACAGAGAGATAATCAGCATCACATAATAACACACAGGTATTCACAACAATGCTGATATTCGGTTTAACAGCACAGTTATCATTTATCAATTACGATTATCATTTGTTGATTATATCTGAATATAATTTTGGGAAACAAAACGCTAATATTGAGTAACCAAAATTTCAAACATATATGTGTTCCTGATATTGTGTTTATTGTAAAACCATTACTCTCCTCTTAAGGTAAGGATTCAAACTTCAGGACTAAAACTTGGGTCACCAGAGGCACTGCCGCACTTATACAGTATGTGGGCGCACTGCCCACAAGGCTATGGCTTTGATATTATTTCTATTTTAAAAGATTTATTCTATTATTATTATTATGTTGTCAACTTAACTTATTAAGTTTCAGTTGAGTTGGCTACATCTGTTATTTATCAAAATCACAGTACAGCCGTGTGTATGAATCATTCAACACTCTCTTATATTGATATAGAGTTGTGCTGTCCTTATCTGAGCTATTTTTAGGTGACTTTTTTAATACTGCACTCATTTTATTTACACTTTCTACTCTAGATTATTTTATTTCACTAATCTCCTTTTGCTTTTATTTGAAATCTACTTTTTAATTATTTTAGTGAATTTGTTTTCTTAATCTTCATAATGGAGGAGCTTTGAATGCTGAAGCTAAACCCTGGAAAATCATAGCTGTGCACCAGACATAGGTCTGTTTTTCTGTTGTACAAATGTGGTCCAACTACGTGATGTTAATAAAGCAAACCAATGCCATTCTGCTAAATGGATGGAAGAGTGTGGCATGTTAACTATTGAATGTAAATGATATAGGCTACTTTTATTTAAAGCCTCTCTTATTGCGATATTGGTATAATAATAAATTTTTTAATTTCTGCATTTAGCAGACGCTTAAAGCGACTTGCAGTGCATTCAGGCTATACATTTTTTACCAGTATGTGTGTTCCCTGGGAATCGAACCCACATCCTTTTGCACTGCTAACGCAATGCTCTACCACTGAGCCACAGGAACATAGTATATAGTATAGGTTCTTGTGTTGTGTACCAGCAGTGAGCATATGTTTATATTGCTTTACTTACGTTGGAGTGCTGGTTTTCCACACAACTTTTGATTCGGCTTCTCTTCTGCCATCCTGGCTTGTGTAGTGGTCCCATGGTTAAAATCCAAGTAAAAAGAGTGTGGAGGTGATTTAGAGGACTAATCAGATCAATGCTTCCATATCATCATCTGCCTCTGGGTTATCCTCCCTTTGCTGTTCTCCTTCTTTTCTGTTTCAGTGTGGTAGAAATACAAAATCCAGGGCTGTGTTCAGTTATTCCGTCCTCCTCACAAGCTCCGCACTTTGATTGTCCACACTTTGAACAATGTATTTGTCTTTCCTCTCTAAATGATGGAAGATTATGTCTGTGGCTCAAGGGGAGGATTTAGGAGGAGGGATCTCGGTACATAATGGGATGTAGGTCTGTGTGTACAACAATGTCTGTAGTTTTGACAGAGGAGAGCATGATTATACCTTGTGAAACAACTTTCTTTAATTAAATCTGTTTGTCTTTGGAAATGAGACATTTTGACGAATATTTTGAGAAGAATCTATTCAGTATTTATTTATAATAATTCCTTAGGCCAGTTTATCTTCATACCCTGCCCCCTCCTTACTGGGATGAGTAAATGATCAGACAACTTTAAGCCGCTTTTCTCATTTGATTGACGGTTGCTCAAACTGTAATCATATTTTACACATATTTTCCTCACTCCATCAGATTGTTCATTTTGTTTACTGATTTTGTCCAGCCACAGCTCATTGCTGCATTCAGTAAATCTGTCTTTTGCACAAAAAGAAAAAAAATTTAAATGTTAAAATCAAGAAATGAGACTGCTGACATTCTAATAAAGTAAAACACAAACCTCTGAACTCAAAATCGAAAATGCAGTAACTATGCAAACACCAAAACTGAGATGATGTTTTATTTTTAAATTGATATAAATATTCACAGTTAATTTTCAATTTCAGGATGTGAGCGTGTGATCCCTCACCTACTTGATAAAAGCCCAGACCAAGAAATGTGCACTTCGACCATTTAAAATGTTAGATTATAAGAAATTAATAAATTTTTGAAAATGCCACAGATCTAATTTACAAACATTTTAAGAAAAAACAATAACATTAACAAGTTAAATGCCTATTCTCTAGTATCACTGTTTTGAACAGTTTCCTTCCTGTTGGTGCCAATCATTTACATTTATCATCAAATCATTCTTTTGAAATCAGCAGACATCCACATGTAACATATTTCAATAATTCCTAGAATGCACAAAGTAAATATGTAATCAGGGAGAAAGAACAAAGAAAAAGAGGGAGTTGTCAGGAATGAATGTGTGCAAAGATAAAGAAGAGATGGGAATGTAGAGAATTTCATATCTGTTCATATCTGTTAGTATAATAAAAGGGTAGGTCTAGGTTAAAAGGTGTTCCCTGTATGTGTCAGGGTGTACTGTGACAATTGCATTTTACCACTATAACATTTTCTTTACAGTATCAGTTTGAGTGTGACTAAGCTGTCACAAATGTAAGTCAAGTATGTTATCTTCCAAAAACGAAGAGCACATATCCAGTAACAGCTAAAATAATATTTATGCAGTATATACAGTGCATATAATATTTATTGTGATTGTTTACACACATACATGCAAACAATTAAAAATCTAACGGTACTAGAAATAACATGATGGGATCGCATGCACTGTACTTATAATTTATGTATTTAGCCTATTTATTTATTGCTTTGCTCTTTTACAGCCAGACACAATTTGCCTGAGGGCCTCTGCTCATTGATCTTTTTGTTGTGCAGAAAATGACACACAATGAGCTCTGCAACCTGGATCTTGATACAGCTTATGTAAGTTGTAATGGTGATTGGGGGGTGGGGCAGGGATCAGGACCTGTGTGTACTGTATGTACTGAGGAAAGTTACTGACCTATGTTTCAATGAAACTATTTATCCTCAGTCCCGAAAATACTTCTATAGGGTGTTCGAATTGTGTCAAAGCTCTTGGGGGGGTCTCCCTAACCAGACCAATGGGAAAATGATCCGATGGGAAGTTCGGATCATTGTACAGACTCGGACCTTTGAGTCTCGTTCAGCAAAATGAACGAATCTTTTTTTCGAGTCATTTCGTTCATTTCGTTCATTTTAGCAAAATATAATTAAAATGTTACGTGTTACTTCCCTAATATGTCTACTACTTACGCAAACGTTGATCACACTACAAACAATACAAAACTGCTATAAGAAACAGAAAAGATTAATTCATTGTTTACCTGGGTCTTCAGTCTATGATTAGCTCACCACCTCTTATCTGACAGTTGCGCATGCGCGACTGAACGAATCACTCCCCGAGACGACTCGTCCTTCCCGAGTCACATTAAATATTCGTTCAAAATGAACGAATCGTTCAAGAACGACCCAGCACTACTCTCCGCGCTTCCGCTTGCAGCGGTCTGTCACGCCACATTTGTTCGGTACAATTTTCGGTACGAATAAGTGTACCATTACACCACTAGAAAACATTTAAAACTGCACTTACCACCATAAGAATGTGTCTGAGCAAAGGCTGTTGTTGCAAATAGGGAGCTTTTTCATCATCTTCTTTAACGGCGATTGAAAGAGGAAGCAGAGCGGGAAATTACGGAT